ATGCTAAACAATAATCTGAGTGCAGGATGTATTTTGACCAAAGTAACCAGAGTAATATACATTTTATCATCACTGGGTTTAAAGTTAGAGGTTTTTATGGTGAGTGGCAGCACCTGCCATTTCCACACTAGTATTATTGTCCTTCTCCCCACAGAAAGCGGTTGCTAGGAGACAGTTCTGTTAGGACAGAGCTGCAAAATGCCAGGTTGGCATGTCTGCTGCCCCCTGTTGGTACAGAGGTCTTCAGACGCTTCATGCCGGCCTCGTTGCAGGACATACAACAACAACAACATGAAGTCAAGGAGATGGAGCATCAGAAGAGGAAGAACAAAGAAGTACGAAAGGTATCAACTTTCATTTATCGCTAAGGGGGTGATAAGTGGGTTCAGTTAACTTAACGAGTTGATAACCAGAGTCATGTGACCACTTAGAGTGTGATTGTTAGGTTTAACTGCATAACCGACAGATATCCTGGATATGTTGAACCTGCCTCATAATACAGACCCCTGCAAACATCAATCATTCAATCCCACAGTTTGATCTTTTGTTGACCAGAGTCACCAGAAGAGGAAACAATGAGTTTGAATCATTTTCATTCATGTGAGAATTCAACAACTTGATTGACAGGTAGAGAAAGAGCTGCACAAACAAGACACTCACCTGGAGGCAGGGAAGCACCTCCCTTTCATCTACGGAGACCCGCCCCCTGAGCTTCTCAACTGCCCACTGGAGGAGCTGGATCCCTTCTACCAATCACAGAAGGTGATTCTCTGATGTGTGACCTGTGACCTGTGACCTTTGACCTCTGATATGTGACCTGTGACCTTTGACCTTTGACTGCAGACGTTCATCGTGCTCAGTATAGGGAACGTCCTCCACAGGTTTAACGCAGAGTCATCGTGTTTCCTGCTGAGTCCATTCAATCGTCTGAGGACCTTCGCCATCAGGATCCTGCTTCATTCATATCCTTCATGATGTCACTGTGACCCTGAGCAAACAAATCACACTCATAATAATATAAATACAATAATCACCATCAAATATGTCGACCTCCTCGAGTAAACATCGCTGACCATGTGTTGTTAGTCTGTCTCTCCATCCGTCGTCATGTCAGTGTTTCTCTGATCACATGATGATCACATTCTGTGGTTTTTGATCCTTAAAAAGTCAAACTTTGTTCCGTTTGTTCATCATGATAACGATTCTGACAAACTGTGGGTTCATGATGATGAGTGTTCATCCAACATGGACAACAATAACAGCAGAGTGAGTCAACACAATGACACACAACAATACAACACAAAACAACACAGAAACATGATACAACACACACACACATGATACAACACACACACACACACACAATGTGTCTGTAAACAACATTAAACTGTATCACAGATAAACGTTAAGAATCAACAAAGTGTCACAATGAGACGTTGTCTCACAGTGAAATTATTTCTCCAGAGTAGGAACCCTGTGACCTCAAAGTTTCAGCTCTGAAACATTCATAAAACAGAGAAATAATTGAATCAGTGAGAGACGAGTTAGCACCATCTTCAGGCTGCTGCAGGGGGCGGTGTTAGAAAGTCAATTAGTGCTCCATCTGAAGGATTAAGCTGTCGATCCTAGTCAGAGGACGTCAGTGTGGGTGGAGTAATGTAATAATTGTATCTATGATGTTTTTGTTCTCACAGGTTTGTGTTCTCAGCCGTCTACATCTTTGAAGTCATCGTTAAGATCATGTCGAGAGGATTCTGTGTCGGACGCTTCACGTTCCTCAGAGATCCGTGGAACTGGCTGGACATTGTGGTCGTCATTACAGCGTAAATATCAACTTAAAAAATCCTTTTGGTGATGATGATGATGATGATGGTGGTGATGATGATGGTGATGGTGGTGATGATGATG